GCATAAACATACTGTGACAGGCTTGCAGGATGAAATGCTAATCAGCAGTAAGGGACGACTTACTTAGGCAGTATAGATAGGCTTTAGAGCATTTTAAGTGAAAAAAGCTAGAATCAGAAGAATGTATACGTCTGATCCATCTTTACACAATTTAAAATCAGCAAAAATAAATCTTCAGTGATTAAATCTGATCACTGGCATGGGAAAAACTCAAAGATGACTTTAAAGGTAGACAAGAAAATTTAATTGTAATCTTTAAAGTGGTTCTTACACAGGTGTACATACCTGTTGACGCTACCCTGAACACTAAGGACATGTAATTTCATTCGCTTGTACTTTACTTCTACAGATCAGTTCTAAACAAGATGAGCACAGAACCCCTGCATCAGGATAGTGTTTCCAGCTAAATCTGACCTGATTGCTTTTGTGGGATTATTTTGAGCTTGAATGTATTAAGAGCTAAGCCCTTGATTATGAAATCTCATAGGGTCCAAAATCTAAGTCCAAAATAATAGCATCTAAATGGCACCCGGGAAGTGTTTTATGGGACCAGTAGTCTCATTTCCATGGTGAAATGATAGGAAAACATTTGGTCACTGTAAGGCACTCGTGCACTCATTTGGTTTTTTTTTTTTTTATTGGTACTGGGGATTGAACTCACGACTGCCTGCTTGCAAAGCAGGCGCTTATGCCGCTGAGCTAAATCCCCAGTCCCATTCATTTGGTTTTTAACAATACAAGTTTTGGGGTTTTCTTTTCTAAGAGTCTTGCATAGTTCAGTCCACTCTTGAATTCACTGTAGTTCAGGCTGGTCTTGAATTCATGATCCTCCTGCCTTAGCCTCCTGAGTGATAGGATTATAGGTGTGTAGCACTACACCTAGCTAGATCATCATGGAGGATTTTTGGGGTTTTTTGCTTGGTTGTTTTGTCTGAGACAGGGTCTCATTATGCAGTTCAGGCTGGCTTTGAGCTCACTGGGCTCATTTTGAACTCTCAACAACCCTCCTGCCTCAGTCTCCTGAGTGTTGGGATTACAGACGTGTGCTACCATGCTCAACTTTTATCATGGAGTTCTTTTTAAGCATATTGCTTAGCCTTCTTTATTGCAAGCTGGTCAAATGATAGGGTGAAAATTTATTCAAACTGGCTCAGGCAGGAGGATCACCATACATTCAAGGCTAGCATGGGGCTAATGAGTTCAAGGCCAGCCCTAACTATAGAGTGAAACCCTGTCTCAAACAAAACAAGAAAAAGAAATTAATTTTTCAAAGGCATGCAAAACCCTATCACCCTTCATTAGATATATTCTTAGGCATTCACTGCCATGGCTTTAACACTCCAAATTAATACCTGGATTTTTGGATACAAAACCATTTCCTAGGTGGCTGTGGTGGCACATACCTGTAATCCTAATACTCAAGAGGCTTAGGCAGGATGATTGTTGAGAGCTCAAGGCCAGCCTGTACTACATGGTGAGTTCAAGGTCAGCATGCACTACAAAGTGAGATCCTTTCTCAAAAAATAGACAACAAATCATTGCCTTATTTGAAGTAGGGATCTTTTCCACAGCAGGTGAACATTCAAATCATGCTTCCTCATTAGCAAACTCTTCTGCCCTAGATGGAAATGAACCACAAGTCAGGGTATGTGATAGGGATTTATTAACAAGCAAAGAACTCTGTTCATACCAGGAAGGCTGGCAGTTAGACCTGAGCAGGTTTAACAGCTAACAATTTTAGAACACATCATCTCTGTTTCCCAGCATTCCATTAGGTCTACTGTAGTCTCAAGCACTTGGGAGCCTAAGGCAGGAAGATTGCTGCCAGCCTGCTGTGGACCTTGTCTCAAAAAACAAAAAGGTCTATTGCCCATAGAGGATAAAAGATGCTCCATGGATTCTGATTTTTGCTTTCTTGCACTCAATGTGACCTACAGAGGCAAGAGTACACACAGCAAGGGATTCTCTCTGCAAGAGAAAGGTGTATCAGCATGGGGACCCTTCAGCATATTTAGGACAAATTCTGCTGTTCAAGCCAATCCTCGTGATGTCAACTTGGCCATTTGTTTCCACAGAGCCAGGAGGTCTCACTGCACAACCTGCAACCTCTTCAGAATTCTGATCATGTCATGTACGCTTACGTGACTTCTAGGACAGGGATTTGTTATGCATATGGAACACTGTAACTCTCAAGGAAATGTAAAATCTACAGAACACGTTTCAGCATAAAGAACCTCATGGAGGTTCTGTCTTCTACAGAGAACTGGTTTTCGTATTTGTATTACAATCAACTTTCAAGACTACCCTGAAACTTGAACACTGCAGCAAAAGGCAGGTGGTTTAAGAACCACCTGAAGCCAATGGTGGCCCCATTGGTAGGAAGCCAATTCCATTAGCTCAAAGCAGCACTAGCCTTCTGGAAAGGGTTTGGAAATATAGAGAGACCTGTATTTCCTCCTTCCTCTCATTAAACTTTTGGGGTAGCTCCCAAACTTGAGGCAGGGTGTAGTTAAGTACTTTGGTTCCCCCCCCCCCCAGTAACATATCTGAGGCCACTAACATCTACTTTAAAGAACCCACAGTTAAGAACTGACCACTGAGTTTTCAGGGCAATCTGAAAGTGACATTTTCTAATCTATACAATATAGCAGGTATTTTTGGTGTTGGGTAAGCATGGACAATTCTTTCTCCAATAAGACTCATGAACCAAAGCACACTGTGTTTACTGCCAGCTCTCCATGACTTTGGGGTTATTTCCCTGAGCTTCAAGATCTGCCTCTTAATCCACTGGGGTAAGCTCATAAGAGCCACGTTTGTTCTGCTGTGAACAGTTCTGTCCATTTGTACTGGAAAAGTTAACACAACACCCAGAACAGTAAGGTCACAGGAAAGTAGAAACTATTAGACAATGATATGATGTACAGATGGCAGTACGGGGTACAAAATGGTTAGTTCTCAGGAAAAATCTGATCTGCCTTTGGGAGTTTACAGCTCTTATATTTTTGCCTAACTTAGTAATGGTGTTGTTTCCTCACTAGATGTTAACAATGATCTTCGCAATATTTCTGTAAAACAAATGGCATAATAAAGTGAACATGCAGAATCAGACAAGCATGACCTGCTCACCCAGCTCTTAAAAACATCCAAGTATGCGGGCTGGGGATTTAGCTCAGTGGCATAAGTGTCTGCCTTGCAAGCAGGCAGTCGTGAGTTCGATTTCCGGTACCCATAAAAAGGAAAAAAGACAAAAAAAAAAAAAAAATCCAAGTGTGCGATTTCTAACTTGGCGTCCCTGGATTCCAAGGATAGTATAGTTGTCCTTTTGATAGTTAGGTCTGCTACACAACTTGACTGATCTGTGAACTGGTTGGCTCCTACTCTGAAAACAGCCTTAAATTATAGCCCCAAATCTTATTAGTCTGAAAACCGCTTTTCACAATTATCTCATTATTTTCCCATCCTACTGGTTAGAAAAAGAACAGCTGTCCTAAAATTAAATCTCACAGAGAGAAAACTCCACAAGTTGTCTATTTGCCCCTCTGTTAGGTATTATTTGCCTGATTTATAAGTGCACAATTCAACTGTCTACTTCACCTCAAGTAACTGAGAACCAAATCTTCGAAGAGAATATGAATATCTTAGCCCATGCACTTGTTTCTGAAGCAGCGGATTTTCCTGTAATGGTCACTGCATTATCTTTTTTTTTACACTTTTTTTTTTTTTTATCGGTACCGGGGATCGAACTCACGACCGCCTGCTTGCAAGGCAGGTGCTTAGCCGCTGAGCTAAATCCCCAGCCCCAACTGCATTATCTTCTTAAAGCTCCAAAGGTCACCCAGTTCCCAGTGTACATGCAGCAATCATATGGGTATCTGCTGTTTGCATATTTCCAGTTGTCAGCTCTGAACTGATACCATCTTGTAAGTTTGATAGCTATTTATTAGTGAGAAAACAAATCCTCCCAAAACAAGTTCTAACAGACCATCCAAAATTCTTTACAATGGGAGTATCTTAGGTCAACACTGCAAACTAGTTACGCAATCCCCGTCAACCAAATTATGCTGAACTGTTTTCACTCAATTATCACATTTATACAAGGATGAACTGTTCTGATCTGCAGAATGGGAAGGCCTCCTGTTCTATTTGGGCAGGCGTCTAAGCATTAGGCAAAATACAGAGTAATTAGTTGCAGATTCTGCATGACTAGAGGTGGTGTACAGCAGTCCTCTAGCAGCAGCAGTCACAGGCACTCTGTAGTCACAAGCGTGCTGTGTAAGTCCACCACTGCACTTAAGGACCATCGTCCCCAGTCCTGCATGCTACGTCATTGGGTGACTACAATGAAAACATGATACAAAGATGCAGTCCAAGGCTGACCACGCCCAGACATAAGAAACTGCAAATCTGAGCAAGTTCCTCAACCTCGTGGGACCTTTTCTCCTTCACAAACAGCAATCTCTACTCTCACTTGTTTCAGAACCTGTAAGTTAAAGTGCTTCAATGATGAAAGTAACAAATGAACTCTTATAATTACCAATCCAGTAAGATTAAATTGTCCTAAAATCTGGTCTTGGTTAGTGTACCAATAATACTGCCAGTGCTGAAACCTTTATGACAACTCTGCCTTCATCCGTTTTGGACACACCAGCTTGGAACTGAACCGAATAGAGTATTACAGTATTTTTAAGGCTGAAAATGACTTTAAAAATATCTTTTAAAAATTAACACTTAAAGAGACTGAATATTTGATATGTATTACTGGTACAACAAAAAACAGTAATCTAAATTCACTGCTTGAAACACAAAGCTCACAGCAAATGTTCTGAAGGCTTCTTTAACCAAGCATCAGGCCGGCCTCATTCACAGCTCCCCGCACAGAAACGGAACCAAATCTTAAGACTTTTCTATTAAGCAGGAACAGTGAATAAGGCACATATTATAGGCAGTTAACCACCTATATGTCACTGTTTGCAACTATAAAAATGAACATAAGTAACTAATGCAATAACAAAATAAAAGTTTATTTTATTAGAATTAGGAATGTTCTTTCCCTCTGGGTAACCTGAACAGTCCAGTTACAATGAAAATCTAACAACAGTTATTTCCACAGCATAGGGTGCTCTATGCACAAAATTACAGGGTTAGGAGCATTTAATCAATTTACCGATCTGATTGTCTCACCAACCCACCCCATCCCATCCCCAAGTGCTCTATACCGGTATATTTAGCTATAAGAATTTTGTCACATTACCTCCTCTTCTCTCTTGTATTAAATCTGAATTCCTATTCATAGTTGAATCATACAGTACGCTGAAGATTCAGCCATTTCAAATCAAGTCAGTCAAGTCTCGGATCTGTTGTACATGTGTGTATATATACACGTGTATTTAATATATTTATTTAAACACACATAAGACCATACAATCTGGGTGGCAGCAAATTACACAAAATTTAGTCTGATGTTATATGCTACTCCATTTCACCACTGTGGTTTGTGTCCTGAGCTTTGGATCAAAATTTTATTGTAAATCACTGAAAGTCCATCTGCTGCTCACTGAATTGCTTGGGTGAAGCATGCACTTTTCAGAAGACAATGTCACTGACCTCAAATAGACATGGAGACCCTTGTGCTGACTATGAACCCTCTGACAGACTCAGATAGGTGTAACAGGGAAGCTGTAGTATAATATGGCTTGCCTAGCCCAGCTGGGGGCACTGAAGCTACTAACAAGAGCAGTTAATTCTGGGAATCCTGTCAAATAGGAGGATCTAGTAAAAGCTTGGAAGTAGAAAAGGCCAGTTCACCTTGTCATACCAATTAGCAAATGCACCCAACTACAGTGTCCTCAGGTATTATGGTGACACTGAAACTAGAGAGCAGCTCTAGAAAGTACCGCTCCTCCACGGGTGGGGGACTGAGGAAGTGCACGCTGCTTCTGGAGTCTTGGAGTCTTGTGGCCGAGGAGCACAGGGAGAGGATGAATGACACTCAGACCTAGACGCTGCTGAGTTACCCGGGAAAATGGCTGAAAACCACCACACACACGAAGCATTTGAAGGGAGCCACATACATCTATGCAGCAACTCTGGGCTGCTCTTCAAAGTTACCAGGGAAAGGAACTTCTTCAAGCTTTCCTTAAAAAAAAAAAACAAAACTCCTTAGTCTTCATAAATGTCATTTAAGATTGATGCAGATAAAAGGTCAAGTAGGATGATGAGGCAGGGAGAAATAGAGAATATGGAAGAAGCGGACACTGAGTTCAGATTTTCACCTGAGGTGGCAAGAAAGGGAAGAACAAGGTACAGGTAAAGTCGATCCTAAAGCAACAAGTGGTTTAGGAAGCAGCATAATGTACTCAGCAAACATTCACTGGTTTTTGATGGGAAAAGAACAATTGCAAGTACATCTCATGTAACCTTTTCTAAAAGGAAAAGTAGGGTTGATTCAGCAAAGCCTAACTTAGGCAAAAGGCCAGAGGAAAGTGAGCCGACTTCCCAATGGTGTAGTAAGATGTACAGTGCAAGAGCAGACGAGGCTGCCTCACGTGTGGTAAACACGTCCTAGGCACAAGACACTGAAAGGAAGACAAAGAGGTCTCAGTTCAAAGCGGTATTTTGTATTCAGACCTCTTAATCTAGTTGCCTAGTTCATGCTACACACTTGTATAAAATTGACAGATTTAGGGACGCTGACCTGTTGAAAAATACACAGCCAGAATGGCCTGAACAGGTATATAGTTAATAAAACCACCACCATCCTTTACTTTTAACATAGCTCTTAGTAGAAAGGCCATAAAAAAATGGACGTCAGAGCTAAAACGCTGGATTAATTCTCCTATCTGCTGACAACAGAAAAGAAGCAAACAGAAGTGATTCCTATGTAAACGCCCTGGATGGGATTATAATTTCCTAGTGGTGTTTTCTTTCAAACTGAGCCCACAGCGACACACACAAGCCATTCCATATCTGCCATCTTCAGTTCACAATCTGAGACTCTGTAGTGGATGGCTATATACTTATATTTAAAGCAAAATCACTCTATTTGACATCCTATCACCCAAGGGTGAAGGACGAGCCATAACTGAAATCTTACTAAGAGGCTCAAAGCAGCAATTAAGGAAAAACAAAAACAGGAAAAGAAGTTCATGAGACACTTCCTCTGGATGTGATGGGAACTCAGGAAGTCTATGTGCATGACCCAGGCACCTGAAGTCGGGAGAGGCCTGAGCCCACAGAGGGGAGCAGGCTCACCACAGGATTATTTGTGAGCTGCAGTCACAAAGTCCTGGAGCTGCCTGGTATGGGCCATAGCACTTAGAACTTGACATTCCGGTTCCTGATCAAAAGCTGGGAATTCAAGGCATGAAGGCCATGGCCAGCAAACAGCATAACCCAAATCAGAAGGGCAAAGGAACCTCAGGAAAGGGAAAATGAAGAGCTCTAGTAAGGTCTTCTAGAGGTGCTAAACAAACACACATTTATCCCAACCCCATCCCTGGAAAGAAAGCAAACTGAAAGAAAATGCACAGCAAATAGACATAATCTTGAAGATTTTTAAAGAATAAATATTTTTTGTAATTAAACATTATGCAAACACGTGCCACGCTTGCTTTGTCCATGCATATGCGCTATATACAATTTTGAAAAATACTGTGTTGTCCTCTTGTTTTAAAAGTCATATACAAAGTTTTTTTTCTTTTCTTTTTTTTCTTTTCTCATGTGTGTGTTGTTCAATCCTCTTTCTGCCTATCCCCTTCCCCATCCTGAGAATTTTGACCTGGGGCGTCTGTGTGTGGGTGTGTTCCTATGTGTGAGGAGGAGGGGAAGAGGTCCTTTACAAAGTACAACAAATGGCTGGTTTGGACATGAAGAGCAGGGTCAAGGAGCTATGTGGAATTTTAACTGTACTACACTTAGGAAAAAGAAAAAGAAGGAGTCAGCTTTGAGAATGAAGCTACGTTACAAGTTAAAGTTTGGAGGGCTTTTAGTGTGTCTGTCACACTTTTGTTGGCGGCCTAGAATACTGTTGTACAATGGTTTATCTACCTTTTTTTATTACAATATAATTTACTTAAACTTTCTGTCAACAAAACAGAATCCTGGAACTACAGACCAGCGGTGTCAGAACAGGCTTGGTGCCTCCTTGTTTGTGTTTGTGTTTGTTTTGTTTTAATTGCATGAGCACTCTAGATGGTAAAGTTTTCAGAGTTCATTTTATGCAGGGCCATTCTCAGTCCTCAATGTACTCCCACAGATCTTTTTCATAGCCTTCATGCACATGCTGTAATAAAACCCTTCGTCGACTCTCACAGTATCTGAAATCAAACAGAGGAAAAGTATTTCAGTCCATAGTAATAAAAAAGTGGCATTTTTTTTTTTTTTTTTTTAAAGGCATTCCTACTTATCTAGACTTGGAACCAAGGACTTTATCGTTTTTTTTTTTTTTTTTTTTTGGAGACAGGATCTTGCTATGTATTTCAGGCTGGCCCTTTTCACTGAATAGCCCACAGCATTCCTGCCTCAGCCTCCTGAGTGCTAGGATTACAGCTGTGTGCCACCACACCCAGTAAGCAACTATTTTTAATAGGCAAACTTTAAGGTCAAGACGTACAAACACATTAAACTGCTTTTAGTGATACAGGAGTATTTTTCTGAAAGCCTCAGTCCTAGAAATTAATTTCTGAGTCATAAAATGTTACAAGTTTTGATAAACATGAGCCATAGAAGCTATGATGCAAACTTATAATCCAAATTAGAGAAAGAAGTAATTCCATGGGTTATTCACAGCTGCAAACTCTTTGTGAACTGTAAAAGGTGTGCAAACATAAATACTTGGCTAAAGTATGCAAAAAATATTAGTTAAATGTAAACCAAGTCTTCCAAATTCTGTTTTTCATTACTATTAAAAAGATATTAGCAAGCGGGGATGGGGTTCATACGCCTGTAATCACAGCACTCTGGGAAGCTGAAGGAGGAATATCACAAGTTTGAGCTCAGTTTGGGAAATTTAGTGAGACCCCGTCTCTCAACAAAACAAAACAAAACAAAACGTCTTCAAGTCTCATCTACCCCTGAATTCCCCAGATAAGACTGATGTCCTATTCTCAGCCCTTCATCCCAATGGTCAATTGTTCTCTTTAAGCTCTTTCTTCTCTACAAGGCAGCAGCTAAATAGCTATAGCTAAAAGAAAGCAGATCAGTCAATAGGACAAATGGCTGTCTCCTCCCACCTGCTTCCCTCTGGCACTTGCTGCCCCACAGACCCAACAACCTGTGAGAAACATGGAAGCAGCAGTTACTGAACATGTGAAAGCAAGCTTGATCACTAAGTCTTTCTAGACCAGTTTTTTCCCAACAGCTGTTACAGTCTCACCTGTACTTATCTTGTACTTTCTGCTTTATATCCTGCAGAGAATCTTGGGAAATATCTCGTTCGAGGTAGCCCGAAAGTACCTCTGTGGCATTCTCTAGATCTGCTTGGTTATTCTGCAAGAAAAAGAATACACAGTAAATTTTGGCATTAAAACAAAATAAAATAAACTAGAAGCCAAATTATTATAGCTGGTTCATTGACTACAGACTATTCTGAACACTGATACCATAATTTCTGTAAGTGGTTTATTTATTTAGTCTTTTTCCTTTATCGGTACCAGGGATCGAACTCATGACTACCTGCTTGCAAGGCAAGCGCTTATGCCACTGAGCTAAACCTCTAGCCCCCAGTTTAACATTTGTTGTGAAGTTTGTTTTGTTTTTTTTTTGAACCAGGATCAAACTCATGACCTCATGCCTGCCAGGCAGGCACTTGTGCCACTGAGCTAAATCCCCAGCCTGGAAAATTTTTTTTTTTTTTTAATGTCTTTCAATGATAACAACTTGTTCTCCCTTTTCTAGAATGATTTTTAAAATGTTTAACAGTTAAAGATTCATCCAGTATCTCTGGAAGGACATAGACAAAAATTTCAAAGAACAAAAATCTTCGGGATCTGAGAGCTAATCTATGCTTAAAAACTCAACAGGAAATTTGGAGGAAAAACAGAAACCTATTATTGGTCACATCTGGCTGTAGCTATTTCATAAACCCAAATACAATATTTCAGAGAACAATGAATGGCAGTTTATATCATACTGCTATTTTCTAGTAAGGAAAGTTCTATATACATTACTCGTCTAAATTCCCTTCTCCAGGTCAGACCCATTGTCTGTCTATTTATGAGCACCAATATTTCAGACTTCCTTTTAGCCATGTACTATTACTACACTACCCAAGGTGATCACCCTGTTAACTTCAAATATTACAGCTGAGTTTTGTCAAAATAAAAGCTTTTACCAGGGACTATATAAGTAAGTAACACAAACTACCTCACCTAAATAAATCTTAATACTCTTGAAAGGTAATATACAAATTTTATCTTTTTCTTTAAGGGGCTAGGGATTGAACCTAGGCTTTGTAATGCTAGGCAAGTACTCTATCACTAAGTTACACCAGCAGCCCATATATGTTCCAAAATAGAAAAGTAAGACATAGTAATTAGCTCCTAATTAACAGAGCTAAAAGGGATAAACTCAAGATTCAAATCCAGGACTCACTTCACACACAACTGCTACCTATGTAATTCACATTACTTTAAATGTAGTTTTTAGTATCAAAAAAAAAAAAAAAAGTCCCGTATCTTCCTAATAAAATTAGTACAATATTTACCTATATTTTCTGAACAGACAGAACATTCAAGTCTTCGCCTATTTTTATGCGTGAACAACCAAGTGGTCCTATGAGTCAAAATGGGCCTGTTCCCATCCAGGAACTGCTCCTACCTCAAAGATAATGGACTGGTTATTCTTTTTGAGGTAGAAAGCGAAGACGTAAGTGTACATGAGTGTGGCACGGCACTGGCAGAGCACATCGACTGCTTTCTTCAGGAACTGCACCTCAATCCAGGACATGTTGTGCTGCTGCATCTCCTCCATTTTCTGCTTCACTTGAGCATAGAGTTTGTGCTCAAAGCGCAGACTCTGCATGTGATTCATATAGCGATTGCAGTAGAACAGGTACCTCTGCAGGGCTGCTCTGGATCGCTGGCCAATTGGGAAAAATAAAGGTCATATAATGACAACATATATAACACACAACAGCTGGGATTAATTAAATCATAAGGTACACCTCACACCTGTTCGGATCAACACATCTTAGCAAGACTCTGCTTCAGATTAAAAAATAAAAATAGTGCTGCAGATATAGCTCAATGTGAAGATCCTGGGTTCAATCAACAGTACTGGGTGCTGGGGGTAGGGATTATCTACCATTGTTAGCAGAAGTACATGTTTCCAAGGCATTGAACAATACCATGAAGGATCTTTCTATGTACCAAACATCTAGTACTCGTTCCACTATAACTCTCAGGAAGCACTAAATTAGAGAAAGGGGAAGATGAAAGGTGAGACAAGTGTGATAAGTGTACAAAGGGGAGCTCCATTCATGCAGGTGTGGTTCCCAGTACTTGAACAAAGGGAATATCTTCCCACAAAATCAGAAGCCTGTAGGTTTTTTGGGGGGAGGAGGGTGGTTAAGACATAGCTCAGGCCAGCCTTGAACGCTCAGGCCGGCCTTGAACTTGTGGTGATCTATCTGCCTTAGTTTCCCAAGTATTAGAACTAAAGATAGACACCACCACATTTGGCCCAGAAGACGGCAATTAAGCATAGCACAGTGAACTCAAATTTAAATATTAAAACTTGCTTAAAAGCTATATGTAACAATCTACCCTCTGTGAAGATCTCAGAAAGCGCTTCCACTAGCACCCAACGAAAAAAAAGTAAGATCAGGAATGATCCAACTACTTTCTCTGCTGGTGCTGTGGGTTAAATTTGGCTTGTCCCAAAAACTCATGCTGAAACTCTTGTGCCAGTGTGATGATAATGACATTATGGGAGCCTTCAAAATGGCCAGTACTATGATGAATGAGATCATCATATATATCTAAAGTGTACCAAAAAAATCTAATGTTAAAAAAAAATGGCAAGTACTATCTCTAGCTACACACTACTTGTCTCTTTGGATAGGTAAAATTAAAAAATCCACTGTTACAATTAAGGAAAATATAAGGCAGAATTAAGAGTTTCCTATAGAATCAAACTATCACAACAGGAAAATTATGCTTTTTTTCTTCAGTAGGATTTTAAACAATCATGGTACAGCTGTGAAATGATTAGAACTGGCATCATACAGTCTTACTTTATAGTACACTGGCTAATGAGAAAAAAGTGATAAATGAAAACAACAAAAAACTAAGGGGCAAATCAAATCTTGAGGCACTGTATGAATGAACACTAGAAAAAGCTAAAAAAAAAAAAATTAACTGAAGAGAATAAATTATCAATTGTGGTATAGTAATACTAACTCTGAAAAAATAATCAGCCACATACCAGTCTATCAACAGTAATTTCAGCAATAAACATTATCTGTCAAATTAAATGTTAGCGTTTCACTGATCATGTAGCTCTCTTTGGTTCCACAGCTGTACAAAAGTGTAACAGTTTATAGCTAGCTTTACATTTCCACATGAGAATCATGTTTTAGATTATCTGAGTTTATATAGCATGAATCAAATTAATGAAAAGAAAGTAAGAATGCTCTTGACAAGCATTTTGGGTAAGATTTTCTTTCTAAGTGTACAAAGGCACCCAGTAGTTACTGGGTGTTCTTCTCTAACCCTGGCAGAGCTGCCATGGGCTCACCCACTCCCTAGGAACATATACCATGCATGAGGCCCAATGTGCTGCTGCCCTGCACATGTGTGCTTACCTCCTGTGCGTCTCTTGCTGCCTTGGCGTCATCCTCATTGTAGCGATTACAGTTGTACCTGAAAGTAAATTAAGATTCCATAAAGCTGTAAATCGATAAAAAGAGAACACAGCACAGGATTTTAACCAGGATTCAGAAATTACCTAGAACCAACATTTTTTTAATAACAGATAAAATTTCTGTTAGAATACTAGTTTTTTAACTCACTAATGGGATGGAAAAAAAAAAAAAAACTAGTTCTTTATCTGCTAATAGAGAATTCCCCACTATTTAAATCAGATCACCCATTACCATCAGAAAATATTCTCATTTCAGAACTTCCACTGACAGCCTATAGTGCCTAACTCAATTTTCTTTTTTTTTTGGAGGGTGGGGAAGGATCTCACTATGTATTTCAGGTAGGTCTTGTTATGTAGCCTGGCCTAGCTTACAACTTGTGGCGAACCACCTGCTTCAGCCTCCTAAGTGCTGGAATTGCACGCGTGTGCCAGCCACCACAACTCAGTTTTGTTTAAGTTAGAATTTATTTCTTTATTTTATTGGTACTGGAGATCGAACTCACTAGCTCATTTGCCAGGCAGGTGCTGTGCTCCTGAGCTATATCCCCAACCCCTTCAGTTTTTGGAGAAAGTGATCACTTAAATTCTAGGCCATCTGATAATCAAGTCTAATAGTCTAATTTTCCAGCTACTCATCTCATCTGCTCCTTTATATGGCAAACAGAATGAACAGCTGACAGCCTACTCTGTAATAGCAGACATGTTATATGCTTTACATACTAATTTGTCAATGAAAAGTGAATGGTAATCAGAATGGGAGGGAAGACATATGCTCAAAGAAGTCTGCTCAGAATGACAGAACTAAGACTGGCATTTCTTTTGTTCTGGTTGCTATGTCTTTTATGGGAGTCTAAATTCTGGGAACAGCTATTTATTAGGTGCTTACTACATACCATGCTAAGGACTTCAAATGTACTGAACTGTTACATGTACAATAATACCCTCAAACACCATCTAAAACATGTACTCTATTGCCACTAAGCTGATGAAGAATTATATTTAGAGAAGCTAATACACATATAGAGGAATTTCAGAGCTGCAAATAAAACTTTTGCTTGCAATCGCCTGAGGTGTGTGTTCCTAACCCATGAGGACATTACAGTGTTCTGTGTTGTTGCATGCCTTCAGACTCTGTGAGCAACCATGCTTTTATAGCTAAATACATTTTACTTGGTTTTAAACCTATCATTCCCTCCTAAAACATTTTTCAATTTAATTACACAAATTGAGTAAATGTACTCCAAGAAATAATCCATCTAAACATCTCCACTTATGCTCAATGTTAAGGCCCAACACATCACAGTCCACAATGAGAAATGTTACAGACATCTATAAAACACTTGGTAATCCATCCTCTTACAAATACCACTGATTCTGGGACTTCACAGCAGAGAAAAATCACATTTTGTAGTTCAAATGTAGTTTGTGGAACCAAATCACAGATTTTGGAAAGCCAAGATTACATTTTATCTGCTTCCAGTCTTTGGAACTTCTTTCCTTCCCATCATTACTCTGCAATAGCCAACAACTGATGTCATCTTAAAGTTTTTAAAGTAACATCTGGATCAGGACATTTAATACTAATATTCCCTTCAAGACTGTAATTCTCTCAAGGAATACAGTATTACACCTAGCCCAAAAACCACTCCCTGTGACCTATATTGATAAACATCTCTTTCTGATCATTATTTCCTACTCTGACACAAGCTGGGCTTTACTTTGTCAACATTATCAAGCATTTTGAGACTAAGAAAGCAAGTATTTTGATTCACCTATGCCTCCAACTCAACTGATAAGTGCTACTTTGACAATTCTGAGGCATTTTATTTATTAGGGTTTTTGGAGGGGAGTGCAGTAGAGAGCCTCACAGATGCTAGGCAAGTGGTTTACTAGTGTGCTAAACTGCCAATGTTGGCTCTTCCTAAATTGCCCCTCTTGTGATCTCTCCCTGCCTTGGTCTCCCCAGCAGCAGGGATTATAAGCATGCCCCAGGACACCTGGCCTGTGGTACAGTATTTTAAAATATAATAAGAAAACATCATGATTCACTTGCAATGTTGGCATGCATAAAGGTAAGACACAAGCAGCATTTAGGACATCATAGCCTGGTCTAAGCCATTATTTATTCTTCTATGTCTATCTTTTGTTTCGTACCATATTCAGGTTTCAGTACAGCCAATGAAAAGCTAGCTGTGATTAGAGGTGTCATTACCCAAACATACAAATGTCTATCTCTTTACTTCCTCCCCACCTTTGGGCCCTGCCATTGGCTTGTTTATAAAAGCATAAGATAAGCTTAGTTTCTGGGAATACTCTAATCCTCTAGTTCAGTGATGGTGAACCTTTTAGAGCTTTTAATAATAGCACAAACAACCCACTGTGGCATGCATGCCATAGCATAGGTTCATCACTGATCTAATGTGTTGTAAAACCTATGAAACTATCTAGTTAAATCCCAAACACCCTTCCCCCTCTTATCCTTTAACCTGGAATTTTCTTCCTCTCATTTTTTTCTCTACACATCGCCAAAATTATGAGAAAATGTATGTAAAGAACACAATTCAGAATATTTTCATTTAAATAATGGCTCTAACCACTTTTCTCTCACTTAAAAATCATAAGATAATACCCAAACTACTTTAGGCCCTTGACTATTTCCTAACTCTTTTCCTATTCCTCACAAGTCACTGGAGGGGTCACAAAGTCAAATGCCAACAGGGCATAGGCAGGTATAAAAATTAGTAAACCTGTGTGTTATAACAGTCAAACATTTTCAATTTTTATCAGGAAATGTATTAGGTTGCATTTTTCTCAAAATCTGAAACACGCTCTCTAACTAGCATTTTCCTAAACAGAAAATACGGTACGCATGGGAAAAAAAGATATGTCTCTTTACTAAATGAGAAAAAAGGAGTCACAGCTTACAATCAGCCTGCTTTATCTGTTAGACATCCATGGATTCAAGCAATCACAGACCAAAAATTTATTGCGTATGCGCACATGCGTACATGCACGTGCATTTGTTCTGTCCACATTCAGATGTTTTCCTTCTCATTATTCCCCAAACAGGTGTAACAACTATTTACACAGCACTTACATCTACTATGTACTATAAGTCTTTTAAATCTAGATTTAAAATATATCAGAGGATGGGTATAGAGTACATGGAACTACTACATCATTGTAATAAAATACCTAAGCATCATCAAATTTTGTGTCTGCAAAGGGTCCTGGAATCTATCTTGCAAAAGCCAAAGGACAACTATATATGGAGCTAACACTTACCGTCAGTCTTGAAAGACACAACACACTGAAAAGTAAAGGTCCATAAGTTGTAGGTAATCAGTGCCAAATAAGAATAAGGTCTTTTTCTAAGAGAAGCTAAAAAGAGGGGCTTTTATTGAGCAATCTCCTAATTTTTAAAGTTTAGAACAAAATTTTTGTCTGATGATATATTTACTAAGTAATAAAAAACCTGGAGATTGGGTTTTGCCAAAAACTTTAGTTTACCACCTTGTCTAGACACATAAGGGACAATGCAACTCTGTGGGTCACCGCTTTTCACACTCCTTCACATCTGCTCGCGCTGCTTGTTCTGCCCTCAATGTATATTCATTCATACTACCTTTTTATTTTATTAAAAAATGGGGCTGGGGATTTAGCTCAGCGGCATAAGCGCCTCCCTTGCAAGTGTGCGGTTGTGAGTTTGATCCCGGTACCAATTAAAAAAAAAAAAGGTACAAAAATGTATTTGAGAAAAGGAATGGGGAAGCAGAATACTCCCGAGAGACCGGAGGGTCCGGAATGGGGCGGCCCTATACTACTTTTTCACTAATGAACTGTTAGTCCTTCTAAAAGCTCACCTCAGTTGTTCCCTCATTCCCTCTTCTGTAAATTATGCCTAATTAATCCCTTAGTGGATAGTCAGCATATACTTCTAACAATGAGCAAACACTATTTTTATGGATTTCACCCGTTGGATAGTAATGTCACAAAAATAGCAATATCACTCATAACATCTTATGTAAACATATTCATCCGTTCCCCCAACCTACCAGGCAGATCCATGTGGTTCCCAAGGGCCAAGACACACCCAGCAAAACTCTGCTTTACAGTTCTGGTTACGACAGACCATGTGATTACAACCGCCATCCTTCTCAATTGTGACATGGCATTTGGGACATTCCTATGAAGAGAAACTATAAAGTTGGTGTCAATGCTACACTAGGTTGTATTACTACCACTGAGTAGAAACCAGTTGTAGATTTTGCTTATTTATTGTAGTTAATACATACAAAGCACTTAGAACAGTGTCAAACATTTAACAAATATTAAAAATGAACTGTTATTATCACTAGCTTTTAAGACACAAAATTTAAGGCTTTTTAAAATTAAGTGGCAACAAAACCATTTTAAGTACTTTTATCATGCAGAGTAAGTTTTATGGAAGGTAGGACATCTGTTCATATATATACTATATATATATAGTATATATATATAGTATATGTATATATATATACTATACTGTCATCTAGAAATAAAGAGCATTTTCTACAACACATGCAACTAATTCTCAGTGCTTCATATACATCAACTAACAACCCTTACAGTGGTGCTAGTCTCAAGAAATTTCATTAGAGAAAAGCACAAAAATAGTTATTTCTATCATATTTTTAAAAGATTGTCATTTGTCTTATATGACAGGATTGATTCATTGTTTCGCTGCCGATATTTTCTAAGAAAGAGAAATAAATATTTCTGTCTGTGATTAGCAAACGCATATTAATCTTTCCAATTTTTATATATAACATGTATACTTAAGTATATAACATGTATACTTAAAATCATGTGTTGGCTATTGTTGAAGTACACAATATAGGTGTAACTAGTATTAGTCAAAAAACCTCAGCATTCTTTAAATCATCACATGAGAAAGACACTATTAAAAATGAGCAGTTCATGAACCATCCTCCCATTCATTACCCATGTTACTTACTATGTGCGTAAGATAGAACTGAATGTAGGATGGGTATTTATACAACTTTCCATTCAGAAACTAGATGCGCACAGTTGGGACTGTTTATGGCTTAGTAAGAGAAAAGGGGCAGTCACAATCAGTGCTACTTGGAATAAATTGTGATTATTCAGAATGAATTTTAGCATTGTGAAAAATGTACTTCAAAACAAAAAAATTAAAAACTAAAACTGGAAACCTATGAGATAAACATACTCCCCCAGAATGCCTATTTCTCAGAGTCACATCTCTTCATAAGTCATATTTTAGATGTTAAAGTAGGCTTAGAGAAATTGTGTTGTTAAAGATACATCAATAATAGTCAAAACTTCATAGCTGCCCAATTATTCTACTCAAATCCTATCCAGAAAGAAAAACTACAGAAAACTAAAGCTCAGAGCATTTAAAGAATGTAAATTACCTTAAAATAATTAAGATAGAGTATACCTCACATTTAAATACTAAAAGGCAATAAAAAAACTGCACTATAAAAACCACTAGATTGGGGCTGGAGGTTTAGCTCAGCGGCATAAGCACTTGCCTTGCAAGCAGGCGGTCGTGAGTTCGATCCCCGGTACCGATAAAAAGGAAAAAGACAAAAAAAAAAAAAAAAAAAAAAAAAAACCCACCAGATTTTCTAAAATAAGAAACAAGTTTTTACAACGCAAGACAAAATAAAGCACAGTACTGTGTGTATTGCTGTACAATGTTCAGTATTTTTCAATAAATTCAAACAGCAAAATAAAGGAAAATCATGAAAAAGCAACCATCCTCATAAAGAATGAGAAAAGAACAGAAACAACAGTAACTTGAGGCCTCTAACTTTGTAAACATTCCTTTGCCAATGGTGATTCACACTTAACTTTACCAGCTTTATCACCAAGAGTTCTGAATACCAACCTTTGTGTTGGCTGCAATCCAATTGGAGGTTTCACTGTCATCATCACACTTTTTAATCCACTTCTTTAACCACTGTTGACAACAACAACTGTTAGTTTAACAAAAGGCTTTTAAAAAGATAGCAAATTATTTCAACACTCAGATACAGTTAAGCTTAAATGCAAAAGCCAAACAAGATTATTATTAGACTCATTTCCTCTTGAGTGAGGGAAATTTTCTAACTGTAGTATACAAAAAAAAAAAAAAAGAAAAGAAAAAAAAGAAAAATCAATAAAACAAGGATTTTCTCTGGCTAAAGCTGAGTTGGGAACATGAAGTTGAAAAGATGAGCTACTAGGCGTGCTGTTCTCCTACTAACAAAGCCTGCCCCAACATATTTAGTGCCTTAACCATGGTCATCCTAATAGTAATCAGAAGCTGGTCTGACTTATCCTAAGGACAGCTTCCTGAACACTGCAATAACTGCCTGAAATGAAAATGCCAAATGAAATCTTCAATATTACTAGAAGAAAGATTACAAACTTATCAGCTGTTATTTTTACTTAGAAATGGACTATCACATTACTTAAAAATGAAAAAGTTGGGGGCTGGAGGTTTAGCTCAGTGGCATAAGTGCCTGCCTTGCAAACAGGCAGTTGTGAGTTCAATCCCCGGTACCGATAAAAATGAAAAAGACAAAAAAAAAAAAAAAAAAAAAAAAAAGTTAAACTCACCTTACACTTAACAGGATCATGCCAATTTTCTCCACAGTTAAAGCTGTTAAAGGACAAAGTTAAAAGAATTAAGTCCTACCTGCTCTAAGTAAACAAACCTACCAACCATTCATGCTTTATAGTTTCTCAGTACTATCACCAGCTTCCAGTGATTGGCAAACCCAAGGGCTATGACATCTGTTTTAGTGTACCACAAACTACTTATCACTCAGTGTGTGCTAGAAGTAAGTAGCACAGAGTGGGAACTCACTGCGTATGAAATGAAGAATGACTTGAGCATGAAGACATGCTTTGATGACAATTTCATAATACTGGCTACTAAGGTGTCTCACTGTATGAGAATTTGCCACTAATACAACTTAGGCTTCATCAGTGCTTAACTCTTTTACTTTGCATCCCAACAGAAGAGCAAAAATTTCATTCTGTAGGCTAATTATGTAATATAGTAATCACACACAGTAAACAATACACAAGAAGCAAGTGGTTCATCTTTGCATAATTTAAACAAATTAACCTCTGCCGTGTGGAGAGAAATGGTACAACCAAGGTATAAGACAAAATAATAGTCTCCAAAGATTTACCAACTTTCTCTAAAAACCTGTATGCTCTTAATTCCCAGTCTAAATAGGAAATAAATCATTTTCAAGTAGATATCAGTATATGTGATATAATGTAAGTTGAACAAAATAATCAAAATGGAAATAATAACATTCTTTTCTGGAACCTTTTAAGTTTGAGCCCACATAAGATACTGTGCAGCATAAAGGAAAACGTGATTACACTGTTAAATTAGGAATTGAATGTAGAGACATCACACTGAGCAACAACCCCAGGACTTTTTTTTTTTTGGGGGGGGGGGGGGGGGAGATACCAAGTCTTGCTAAATTTTCCAGGATGGCCTACAACTTGTAATCCCACTTGCCTCAGCTCAGAGGGTTATAGCTGCTTGCTTGCTTGATTTTTGCGTACTGGGGATTGAGCTCATGACCTCACACTTGCCAGGCAGGCACTTAGGCCGCTGAGCTAAAATCCCTGGCTATAGCTGCATTTTTAAATTAACCACCCAAGAAGGAAAAAAACAAAATCACTTTAGCACTTTTTCATCTAGTTATTTAAAAGAAATATATTATTTTAAACAAACTTCATCTTTCTTCCTGAAGCAAATTGTTTTTTTTTTTTTTTTTTGGTTTTTTTTTTTTTTTTGCATTTTTACTAAGAAAAATACATTTGAAAAAGAAAGTGACATGCACTGTACCCAACGAAGAAATCACTAGCTTACCAGAACTGGCGCCCACATTTGCAGCGAACAGGTTTAGCATCAGGATATTGGACTTTAACAACATGATGACAATCAGGGGCAGGGCACCACTTTAACAGTCGATTGCACTGAAACATAAGCTCAGAATTAAAATGATAGCAAATGACATCCTCACCTAAGATTTCCCAACACACCTGGGGAGGGACAGGGGACAGGTGATACAAAATTCTACTGTGATCTTTCATAGCAATGCTTGGGACCATTGTTCTTTCCAAGATTATTGCTGTTTGCAGACCTGGTTTCACATTATGTCTTATGTTTTTTTGAGACAGTGTATGTATTTCAGGCCAGTCTCAAATTTGTAACGATCTTCCTGTCTCAGTCTCCCAAGTGCTGGGATTATAGGCATGTTCCACCACACTGGCTAAGACAGTTATACAAAATTTATGAATTACCTCTTGTTCTAAAATACCACTGGGAAATTTTAAAATTGCCCAGTAGCAAACAACAATTTATGGTTCTGTTTTTTTTTGTCTTTATCCTTTTTTATCGGTATGGGAGATCGAACTCTTGACTGCCTGCTTGCAAAGCAGGCGCTTATGCCACTGAGCTAAATCCCCAGCCCCAACAATTTATGGTTCTACTTCAGGGAGATTTTTCTATGAAGTAAGAAAATAAGATTTCTTTCTTTCTTTCTTTCTTTTTTTTTTTTTTTTTTTGGTACCAGGGATCGAACTCACAACCTTGTGCTTGCCAGGCAGGCACTTATACTACTAAGTTAAATCCCTGTCCCAAATAGATATATTTCTATCTAAGGGAAGATGTTGAGACAATGCAGAATAGTTTAAGATAAGCTAATGGATGTGTATATGCATTTTTTCCCACTGACAATAAAAATAGCAAAAGCCAGTTCCTAAACCATACAGAAAGATACATTCTGGTTTCACAAAAGGAAATGTTAAAATTTCAAGTATTTGTTTTATGGAACAAAATATGACTCAAATTAACATTATGCACCAGACTTCATCAAAACTATACTGACCATTTGAAAAAGTATACTGTTTCTAAACTGTCTGAATTTAAGCTGGAACAAACATAAAAACTATTTTCTAGAATCAAACACATTAAACAATGTTCTTGTAAGGCAGCTGGCAAACTGTTTCTATAAAAAACTAGAAAGGGTTTGTTTTCAGGGCTGTAATATTCCCTGCCTCTGAATCACAAGAATAGTCATTGAATACATAGGCAAGGCATGTTCTCAGAAGTATTTACAAAAACAGGCACCCTATAACTTCCCAACCTCAGCTATGATATTAAATAAATGATAAGCTAACTACAGTGGGCCGGGGATATAGCCCAGCAGCTGAGCAACACAGTGCCTGCCTGGCAAGCATTGAGGCCCTGAGTTCAATTCCTGGTAACCACTCCCCCTACCCCCAAAAAAAGAAAAATGAAAAAGAAAACTCAACCAGAAACAAAAAAAACTATAGCATTTTTTTTACTGCTTTTATTAACAAGATTTACTGGTCATGGAATCTAAAATAAATAGAAAAAGGAGTGGAGTTAGAGTCCCAAATGAGACCAACATAATATGGACATAATCAACAATCTATTACAATTCTTTGTGAGGGGCAGATAGGGGTAAAAGGAAGACTACTATAAAAAGTAATTTATTGCTAGATGTGGTGGCACACACCTGTGATCTCTGTGTTCAGGAGGCTGACTATGTATAGTGAGTTCAAGTCTGGCCTGAACGACACAGGGAAATCCTGTGTCTCTAAAAAACAAGTATGGGGGGAAGGAATTGAGCAATTCTATTAACAAAGTTCCAGATCTATGAAATAGCACACTAACTGGTTTCTCGAATTCCTTTCAGAACAAAAGAGTGTGGTATACTTCATAAAAATTGTAGGCACATAATTTTGTTGCCAACACTTTTTCAGTTTTAAAAAGTATTTGCATGAATAGTTTTTTATTAAAAGAAAAATCTCACTTACCTCTACAAAGCTATTTGTTATTAAATGCTGATACTTTAATTTAACTTTTGAATCTGTGATCAAACGCCTGAAACCAAAAATAAAAAATATTAATAATTTTTAGTCACGAGTATTTTCCATATTGATAAAACATAACTTCAAAAGTCGTTAACGCTATACGACTGCAAAAACTGCCCTACACTGGCTGAGCATGGTAGACATACACCCACAGGACACTGAAGAGAGAATAAGCAAGTATGAGACTGGTCTGGGTTACACAGTGAGATCCTGTCTCCAGACAGACAAATGACAAAAACAAAACAAAACAACTAACCTGTGTTGAATATGCTGAAACACACAAGCTATTAACAAATCTAATTACTAATCCAAACAATAATTTTCAAGTTTCAGTCATTTCATTTTGGTAGACATTTTCCTCAAGTTTCTTCTATTCTAAACATTCTCTTTTTACCTAGTTTTAGCAACTAAAAACTTAGCCAAGCATAGTCTGCTTTCAGTCTCTGGACTCTGACACCTTAAGACAGATCTTGGCCACCCTTCTTTAGCCCCCATATAAAATCAGCGTGGAAGTGAGAACAATGTTGACAGAAATGTCAGGGATGGATCCAGGTTTTGTAATATCCAAAGCATGTAACTTTGAGAGTCTTCTTCATTTAAGAAGTCTTGGTAATTTAATGGAAGTGGTGACCTTAACATGGTTTCCTTTGTTCACACTGAACACTATAACTCACAATTTCTGTACCTCACCACAGGAGGTCATGAAAGTCAAGAATCCTAAAGGTTAACTTTTCTTATGTTTGTTATAAATACTTCTGAATGTGTTTTAAGAAAACGTTGAGTGTGGAGTGAAGGAGATAACCAAAGACAGTGCCAAGAAGAATTAGACTGAACGTGCAACACAGTTCAAGGCCAGAATTATTTTTTTTAAAGCCAACAAGAGACTTTCCTGTGATGCAGCTGCACCTCATTCTTGAGCACCTCATTCATCTCCCCACAATCTGCTTTGAGTCTTTGTCTGTCCTATGCTCATTAAGTGTACTCCTATCACCCAACGCTCCTGCACAGCCCGAAAAAGGAAGGACTCTCCTTCCTCAGAAGTCCTGCATGCGACTGCCTCCCTTGGAAATGAAAGAGGACAAGGTCATGAGGGAGCTCTGAGTGAACAGACTAGCTCTGAAAATGCTCTTCACAATTTAGTAGCAATGAATGGAGATTAGTACTCTGTTCTTTGGGTTACTAGTCTGCAAAACTGCAGAAAGAGAAAACTGTGTGACTAGAACAGTGCCTGGCAAGTAGCAAACACTCAATAAATATCAAATGCTATGTGATTATACTACTTCAACCAGCTAAAATGTACTCAAGGAAGCCTTCCCTGATAATTTCTCACATCTCTCTAGCTCCCCACTCAATTTGCATGACACCCTGAAACACCTCCTTCCCAGCATTTACCACAATTTTAATTAAAATTGTCTGGATAATCATTTTCTTAATACTTAGCTTCCTGCTCGTCTATCTCTGAACAATAAGCTCCAAGAAATAATCTATATCTAGCAAATGCCTAGCTGGCAGAAAAGTATTTAGTATCTATTTTTTAAAATGAGCAATCCTTAGTACTCACAGATGATTAAACTAAGATCTAAAAATAATCAGTGCATTTGGTAGTTCAATTAAAAACTCAAACATGACATTAATATGATTGCCAACTACCTTCATATATTTATACTCAAGAGAATTAAAAAAAACAGGTGTTGAATACACTTGTACACAGTGTTGCTAGGTTTACGTAACACCACAAATACTTCCTGAAAAAAGTACCAACATCCACATAAACATTATTCAGCAATAAAAAAAGAAAAATGTGCTGATTCATACTGTAATACAGACAAACCCCCAAAACAAGTGAAAAGACAGTCACAGTCACAAAAAAGCACATATTACAACTCTTTTTTATAAGAATGCTTATGATAGGCATATCTACAGAGACTGAAAACACGAGTGATTACCAGGGTCTGAGAAGAAAAGGCAATGGCTGAAGAAGGAATGATGAAAATACTCTGAAATTTGGTAGTAACACTCTAACTAATTAAAAAGGTGAACACGTCATGTGGATTGCATGACAATCAAAATAGAAAAGGCACATGACCCAAAAGCAGATGCTCTGCTTCCCAGACATGCATACTTTACACACTGATTGCCTCTGACACTTTTCTGTCATAACAAAACAACTGCTAACAGCTGACCCTAACCTGAGATGTTGCCAAACTTGGCAGGGCTCACTGGGCCTGGTGAGAGCAAAGGCCAGGCAGTTACCGGGCAATGGTTTCTACCTTAGCGTAGCTTACACTCCATCCTTGAGAATGGGTACTCTCAAGAAAACAAGTTTTCTGGGGCATTTAGCTCAGTGGTGTAAGTACCTGCCTGGCAAGGGCGAGTTTGTTGAGTTCAATCCCTGGTACCACCAAAAAAAAAACCGCCCCCCAAGACAAGTGTTCTGTCAATAATATGCTCACTGTCTTCACATCACTTATACCAAAAAGTGGTGCTGTCACTGTATCAAAAAGTCATTATACCAACATGACTTGAAATACACAGTGGATATACGTATATAAATACATGTATTGAAATGTGCTCGAAGGCAGCTCTCAGGTAAACAAAATGGCATCAACTAAAAGACTACATGCTGAGTACAGCCTTGAGTTCGAGGCTAATACCTTACTTTAACAACAGCGTTAACAGAAAACTGCAATTTAAAACCACATGACTACACAGGAAGTTTCAAAAGACTGCCAACTGCTAGGTCTTATGCTTGTTTAGCACCTCCTGTAAATCTCCATTATATTGTAATTTATTTCCATTGACAAAAACTTTACTTTAAAATGATTTTCCTGCCAGGAATGGTGGCACACACCTGTAATCCCAGCACTAGGAAGGCTGAGGCAGAAGAATCATGAGTTTGAGGCCAGCCTGGGCTACAAAGTGAGATCAAGACCATCCTGAACCATAAAGTGAAGCCTTGCCTCAAAAAAGATCCTCCCATCAAGTTTCCTCAATAGAGCACCACTTATATATACACAAACATAAAGAAGAAAATTTTAAGTCACCTGTAACTAGCCAGGAGGAATAACCACTTGATATTCATATAAATCTGGACTTTCTTCTTTTTGTAAATGTATGCTCGTTTAAAATACATTTAATGTTGCACCTCAGTTTTTCCAGTAACATTATAGGCATTTTCCAGCATCATTAAAATAGTTTGCAATTCCACTTCATTACTTTTTGCAGTGCTGGAGTTCAAACCCTGATCCTTGTACATAAAGATCACTTTAATGGATGCATCGCATTCCATCTTCCACTTCTGGACATTTGGGTTGCAGGTGTTCTGACAATGTAACCAACATCTTTATTATAAATATTTGCTAAAATCTTATTATAGAAATTAAGATAACCTCTATTAATATCTGAATTTATATGAGCACAATCAAAAGCTAATTCCCTTTTTAACCTAGATAGGGTTTCACTATGTAGTGTAGGTTGTTTTTTGAACTCACTCAAAAACTCAAGCTCAGGCTGCAGAACTCATGGTGATTTCTGCCTCAGCTCCTCAACTGCTGGGATTACAGATATGCACTAGCATGCCCACTTTTCATTCCTTTTTTATACCTTTCCAAGTGATTCCAACTTGGAAAATATAGCCAAAAATTAAAAAAGAAAGAAAAAAGAAAATATATCCAAAATCCAAACAGTTCTCATGATATCCTCTGCTACCATCCTGATCCAAATCACCACCATCATCTCCTAATCTGGACTGCTACACTAGTCTCTCAACTGACATGTCTTTAAAAAGTTTTATTTTAAATATAAGCAGTCAAAAGTAATCTTCTGCTCAAATGAGTGGAATAAAAGCCAAAGGCTATTAATGGCCTATGAGCACTTTCTGACTCTGCTTCAGGCACCCTCCTTTTTCACCTCCTTTCAGTCTCTATGTTAGTATTCATAATTCAGTAATGTTTTCAAGTTTAAATTACTAATGGTTACCGGTAATCAAATTCCTGCTTATATATTTAACCTTATTTACAAGCCAAACTTGAAAAATTGTTTAATTTCACACTTCAACAAAACTAGGAAAAGTGTGAATTTGAGTTCTGATCCCTTAGGCCTACATTCTAAACAGTAGTATATAGCTTTCGTGCTAAATTTCCTACTTAGCAATTTTGTTGTTTGCACAGGGTCTCATTCAGGCAGGCCTTAAACTCACTTTGCAGCCCAGGCTGGCCTTGAACTTGCAGTGATCCTCCTGTCTGAGCCTCCCAAATGCTAGGATTACAGGCATGCACCATCACACCTGGCTCTATTGAGGTCTGTTTTTTCTGTTTCCTTGTGGAGAAATAACTGGCATTCAATGCATTTCACTACATGAGACAAGCAACACTGTATAAAGTCACAAGTTATCAAATCATTCTCTGTAAATTCTGCACCTAAAAAATAAAAAAAATCAGTCCATGTCAGCTAAAAGACATATAGAATACTTTCTATAGGTTTTTCATGCTAGCCAAAACCAAACAAACCAGCCAAATAACTCCAAGTCTGCTTGAAATACTGTATGGTAACTATGAAAAATGAAACACAAACTACATGCATATATCTCAGTGACTCTAAGCAGCAGAAGTAAGATGCATACCAATTGGAAAGGCACACAAAGATGACTTTTCTGGGTACTAAGCTTGAGCTGAACTGGGTGACAATAAAGTAAAACATACTTTTGGCTTAATGTATTTTAGGACTAAATAAAGACATGAAATGTCAATGTACAGCAAATTGGGCCTGTCATTATTCGGTGTTTTCTCATTGTAATGTCATTTACATACATATTGAAATAGTTTGTCCCCTTCCTCAGATGGCACACACTACACAATCTCACTTAATTATTAAGGGTCAGCTGGATATGATGGTGCACGGCTATGATTCCTGCACTGGGGAGGCTAAAGCAGGAGGCCAGTGACTTTCAGGGCAGCCTGGGCTACATAGTGAGTCCAAGGCTGATCTGTACTACAAAGTGAAACCCTGTGTCTCAAACTGAATAAATACACAGATAAATAGATAGAATGGAAATGAATTTATGCCATCATTTCTTTCTAAAAATTGTATGTGAAAATAAATCGTATTTTTTAAAGGAACACCTTATAGGATGTTGAATTAGATCATCACAATTCTAGGTTTATACTAACACTATCACTCAAAATGAGACTAATTTATCACTTGGAAGTCTTTAAAGACTTTGCTGATACTGTAGAAGTTTATGTTTCATAACTATTAGAGGAGCTATATATAGTTAAAGAAACTTAACTCCTAGACATGTAAATGAGGGGAAAAAACCCAATTATTATGATGAATAGAAACTTTTATTTGGTGACAAGTGATATATAATTTAGAAAAATAATTTTTATTAGTTTCAAGAAAGTATCAAGGACAAATCTGTTAGAAAGTACTCACAACACAGTGTTTCATTTATTCCTGTAGAAGGATAGCTATCAGAGGCTGCTGTATAGAGAAACCCTGTCAAACTCAACAGCCTTGATTGAATTAAAAAACACAAATAAAAAATACCTTGTTTATGAAAGCAAGGGGGAAAATATATTTTCTGTTATTTATTCAAGGATACATGCCTATTAAATGTCAGTTGCTAAGGAATAAAAAAAGAATCCATTCAATTATCATGATGAAGCACTGAAGATCTGAGCAGGTGGTGTAGCTCAGAGCAGACTGTATACTTAGCATATATACATGTTGCAGGGATCAATATCCAGCACCATCAACAATAATAAAAGGAAATCAAAAATTCTTTAAAAAGCACTGAGAGATCTAAATACTTTAGTGTAGTTATTTTAAGCTTAGAGCCACTGAATGGTTAAATTCACAAAGATTTTAGTCACCATAAATATGGTAATAAGGGTCACACAACCTGCTCATAGCTTAAGAAGAAATATGAGTAATATTAAGTGAAATGGGGAGAAAGGGTTACATGTATATATACAGAACATTTGGCCAAACCAAAATTTAAACTCAGGCCTAGATAATGACTATGAAGATGAACAAGTAAAAATACCCCCCTAAAAAAATCCAACAAACGGAAGAGAGTAATACCGAGTGTTTTACAAGAGAAAGTCAGGAAGCAGTGCATATGTTGAGGAAACTAAGGTCTACATGGTTCTAACATAAAATGTAAGAAAACACAAAGCAACAGATGAAGCTGCTTGGGACAGTGGAGGTCAGTGGAAGGCACTTTGTGAAGAACTGGAAGGTCATAAAACAAGGTCCGAGGGAACCATTGAGGCATCAGTAGCAAACTTCCATCTAAGAAACCATAATGGTCTAGGTCATATTAGTGACAATGAGAGAAAGAACTGGATGGTTTTAAGAGGAATTAGGATGTGGAGTCGTAGAACTAACAGAATTTGGAGCAAGGGTCATTCTGGGAGATGCAGGAGAAAAATCAATCAGGCATATCACCAAAGGCTGTAACTCAGAAAAATCTCTAACCCCTAGTATCGCTCGCTCTATACTGAGAAGGAGGAGAGTGTATTTGATTGTGGAAGAAGCAGTAAGCAGGGATGGAGATCAAGCTGAGGAATATATATATATGGAGGTGCCAGAGAGGCAGTGAGATTGTGAAGGTCCCAAACTCACAAGAGCTCACATGGAGATACAAATCTGAGTATTTCCAACAAACACCTATGATGGCAACCCTTTTAGAGACCAAGTGCCTAAAGTGCAAACCTAAGCCCACTTCTTTATCACAAAGTACCAACACTGCAATTAAACCTGAATGCTTGGCTGCTAGGATGGTGTTGGGCCAACTTGTCTTGCATGCTGACACAGAGGCTGTGCGTCGGCCACAGTAGTACACATGCCATAGGTTTGCCACCACTGGGCTAGAGCAAGCTGTACAGAGGAAAAGGAGCCCAGCAAACACTCAAACCCAAGGGAGATTTGAAAACCAGTTCCAACTTTAAATGCATTCCCAGCCTTTCTCAAAAAGCCCCCCCCCCCCCGAAAAAATCAATAAAAATTTACAGAGAAGACGTGATAAGAAAAAATACTCGAGGTTAAAAGCAGTCACAAGAACTCTGAGGTAGCCAAAGATTTGGAGTTAGCAAAGACCTCTCAGCAGCTATTATAAATATGTTCAAAGAATTAAAGAAATTATATTTATTTAAAGAAAAATTAGTGATGCAATCAATATAGACTCTCAGATTAGAATGGTGGTATGTGTTGTAGTCACAGCTACTCAGAAAACTGGGGCAGAAAAATCACAAGTTTGAGACCAGCCCACACAATATAAATGAATACAGCAATACTTTTTCTTTCTTTTTTTTTTTTGGTCTTTTTGAGACAGGGTCTTGCTTGGGACTGCCCTTGGGCTCACTTTGTAGCCCAGGCTGGTCTCGAATTTGCAATGATCCTCCTGCCTCAACCTTCAAAGTGCTGGGATTACAGGAGTGTGCACTACACCCAGCTTCTGAGTACAGCAATCTTAACAGCTAGAACAAACTCTCTTGTCATCTCTCCTAAACTCATTTTGTGTTTTAGTCCCATAGGGGGGGAAAAAAAACTCATGACCCCTAAAAAATACTTAGGCTCTTTTATTATTATATTCACTCCTTCAACCCAATTTTTTTATTCCTTTTGTGTTACAAACTCTCCTTATACTCTTCACACAATTGCTCCTGAGTAGCAGTACCCCCCCCCACACACACACACATGTATGCATGTTAGCTAGGTGGGCCTTCAACTTGCAGTGATCCTCTGCTTCAGTCTCCTAAGTTTTGGGATTGCAGTCATGCCCACCAGGCCGGTCCATCCAAAAAAAACGCTGTTGTTTGTGGGTTTTTGTTTTGTTTTGTTTTGTTTTGTTTTTTGGTGCCAGGGATGGAACTCATGACCTCGCACTTGCCAGGCAGGCACTTAAGCCACTGAGCTAAATCCCCAGCCCCTGTTTTTGGTTTTTGAGACAAGGTCTTGCTAAGTAGTTCTGGTTGGCCTCCAGCTCACAGCAGAGCAGGGTGGCCTTGAACTCATGTTAATCCTCTAGCTTTACCCTCCAGTGCTGGGATTACAGGTGTGCACTCGAAAAACTGTTGTTTTGATGAAACAATATAAGGGAACAAGATAAAGACAACTGAAAGAATGGTAGTACAAGATGATATATGACTTGCTTTGCTAGCCTAAACATTTTCAGTCAGAAAGCAAGGAATAATACAGAGCTGGTAACAACAATGTGTTCCAAAGCTGCCAAAGGAGACTAAGGCTAAGAAAGTGGAACTAGTGATTTTTATATAAAAACTGAATTGGTCAAGTTACTTTATTAAGTTAAGAATTTATTTATAAGGGCTGAGGATTTAGCTCGGCGGCATAAGCCCCTGCCTTGCAAGCGCAAAGTTATGAATTTGATCCCAAGTACCAAAAAAAAAAAGAATTTACTTATAAAAGTCCATGGCTGCTTGAACTAATCTTTTACTGCAGATGTACCCTGCTGTGTAGATAATTATCTAGGACTAAATTCATTTCTGGATTACCATAATTTCAGTTTGTCTTTCTAGAATGAAGTCAGTGAGGTAACCTGAAGTTACGTAAACAGTGTTGACAAGAATCTAAGGATGCTGAGATTTTACTCCAGTTTCCTGAACTCATTATGTATTTTCCTCTCCCAAGTATCTTTCCTTTCAAAAGAGGAGCTTTGCACATGGAGTATAGTTGGATGATGGCCTCCAGCTGCAGTGCCTGAATTCCAGCACAGGCCACGCTCTTCCTGGTTAGTCCCAGCAAGTGACTGAACACAGCAAAAGGCCCAGGGCCTACGATTCCCTGCATACTGCATCCCTCTACAGGAAATATGAGTCCTAAAGTTCCTATTAGCTGCACAGCTATACAAAGTTTCCAGTCTCTTGGAAATTTTCTTCCTTCTTTCCTTTACCTGGGAGCATACCTACACTGAAATCTGTCTGCTTTTGTTCCTCCCCTTAAACCTGTACAGGTACTCATTTAAAAAGATCTCTACATCTTCCCCTTCCCTTTTAATCTGTTTCCTTTTTAATCCCAGGGACCTCAACTATCACACTGACATACCACATTCTTTCATTTTTATGGTTATCCAAATCTAGCTATCATGTATAGCCAAATTTACCAGAATAGTGATTAGGCTTTTAACCAAGTTACAAACTTGTTTTTCTACTACAAAAAAAAATATACATTGGAAAGTCTCTTCAGACTTCTAAAAGGTCACCTCATTTGAGGTGTTTAGAGAAAGTTAACTTGGTTCAAGCAGCTAACCAATATTCGACATGCAGAATCTATCAAAAATACTTACATAACTGTGTTGTCATCCACTAAGATATCACAACCATGAGCAGGACACGAAATAGTCTGAAAAAGATTGAAATTTAAACCATGTCTTCATTCAACGAATATTTACTGCATGCTTACCACTGCCAGGCACATTGCTAGGTTCTGGGGATGTGTTAAGTTTATAGGATCTCAATCCTTCCCCCTTTCTATTTTTTTTTTTTTTTTGGTCTTTTTTCCTTTTTATTGGTACCGAGGATCAAACTCACGACTGCCTACTTGAAAGGCAGGCGCTTATGCCGCTGAGCTAAATCCCCAGCCCCTTCCCCCTTTCTATTTAAGGCGTATGTGTTTGTGTGTGTACATGCATTTGATATGTGTGGTGGTAGTAGTAGACAGAATTGCTGGTCTGAATAATTGGTTTTTTAACAGAAAACTTGAAAGGTAAAAGCAAAATGTAAGAAGTTTAGCCTGATAAATGCCAGTATCACTGCCTGCTGAGAAAACAAGATTGAATCTTTAAATGGAACATCGTATTGCAAACAGAAAAAAAAAAAATCTAGTTATCTTTTAATAGTTTTAATGTAGAAAATGTTGTTCATTAAATTCATTATCCAGAAAAGTTTCACCTGTTTATATTCACAAGGTTCTAAACACTGTAGGAAATTCAACAAAAATAGAAAATCAAATTGACATCCTTACCTGTCCCATGCCTTCTTCCATTATTTTAGTAGTTAAATATTCACTCCAGCACTGCATACAAAACTTATGTCCACACTCAAGGCCAGTGAAATACTGCAATGGAAGTAAAACAGGAACATTAACAAAAATATTATCAGAAAAATCACCAGGCACTGTGACTCAAGGTTTTATTAGATCATTTTCTCATAGTGGCTGAAAGAGTCAATCTGACAAAAACAAATGGACTTCTAACACAAGCTTCTAAGGGAGGAAATCTACACATGTAAATCCCCTTTAGACTAAACTAATGAGAAACACATCTGTAGTGGATATTTACAAATTGCAGGAAAGGCAAGTGACAATGAATGAAGCGTTTGTGTTAAATGTAAGACTGCCATCTACCAAAACAGATGCTCAATATCATTCATCACTGTCGAAATAGAAATCAAACCCATAATGAGAAACCATCTCACACTTGTAGGGCAGCCATTAAAAAAGAAACCTAAGATAATAACAAATATAGGTCAGGTTGTGGAAGAAGTAGAAGCCATATACATATGCTGCTGACAGAAATGGAATGTGGTGCATTAACTTTGGGTATCAGGAAGTGCCTCAAAATAAATATTACGCATAAGAGTGACTTTATGACACAGAAATTCCACTCCTAGCTATATGCTCAAATGAATGGAAAACACACCAAAAAAAAATGAGAAGTCCAGATCAGGCAAATTCTTTGAGAAAGAAAAAATATGAATGGCCTAGGCCTGGGCAGTGGTGAGGCTGATATAGGGTGAAGTACATGAGAAATGAAGAGTCAACGTAAAACAGCTGAACTTCCTTGGGGTCTCAGAAAAATACTGTAAGATTAACCGTGATAGTTGCAGAACTGGGAATACACTAAAACCCTCTTTAAATGGATGACATGCATAGTACTGAATTGGAACTCGATGAACTTGTCATTTAAAACATGTCATGCAAAAAGCCGGGCATAGTGGCTCATGCCTGCATTTCCAGCACTTGGGAGGCTGAGGCAGGAGAATTGTTGTGAGTTCGAGACCACCCAGGGCTACAAAGTGAGCTCAAGGCCAACCTAAACTGCATAGCAAGACCCTGTCTCAAAAAAAAAAAAAAAAAAAAAAAAAAAAACAAAAAACAAAAAACAAAAAAACAAAAAACAAAAAACAAAAAACAAAAAACCATGTCATGCAAATAAAGAAGTGCAAGGGAGGATGTGGCTAATCTAGAAAATACAGTAAATCAAGAATAAGAGTAATTTTTGTTCTAATCTTAAGATTACTTGATTTGAATTGTTAAAACCTTGAGAAACGGTCAAATGAAGGTAAAAGGTTAATGTGTATGAGGATATTTAAAAATTCAAGTCTGGTGAATTATATCTTTTTAAAAAGATTCAAATAATCACTACCTTGTTTTGGTTGAAGAATATTTTATAAAACTCATTATTTTTAACTGAATGAATAATACAGGTTCATGACTAAGACCTTTTAACAAAGCAAGGGGCAGCAGCACATGCTTTCAGTCCTAAGCACTTGGGAGGCTGAGCCAGGAAGATCACTTAAGCCCAGGAGTGGGGTCTGCAGCAGCCCGGGGGAGTGTTAGCCAGAAGAGAAACAACAGTCGCCTGTGAACTGATGAGTGAACGTAGAAGACATGGGACTCGGTAAGATACAACAGAGCAGCACTTAGTCACAGAAAAGAATGATTGGCTGATCAGGATCAGCAGTGGGTCAGTGCCTCTGAATTCCTGGGCTTCAGCCTGGGCGACACAAGTTCCACCTCCTAAGAATTTTTTTCTTTTTTTTTCTCCTCTTTGTCAGCTTACGTTGAAAGATAAGTCCCTGTCATTTCCATCCCTGGTGCCGTTTCATCCACCCAGTCTCATTTCTTATACATTATTTCCAAGGATGCTACAATGTACACATACAGTAGAAGAGTCATGTGCTCTTTTCTGTACCTTGTTTTGGTTTCATAAAAAAAATTTAGGGGCTGGGGATTTAGCTCAGTGGCATAAGCACCTGCCTTGCAAGCTGGCAGTCGTGAGTTCGACCCCCGGTACCGATAAAAAGGAAAAAGACCAAAAAAAAAAAAAAAAAAAAAAAAAATTAACAGACTTCTACTGATGGCTCCACAGTGGTACCCAGGCAACTGTCTCTTTTCAGAGTTTCAAGGAAGGCAACAAAGCCTATTTAAAGCATCTGCTATTAACAGGCACTGCGACTTTTTTCATTACAATTCTCCCTCATCTGCTGCATACACACCTTTATGATAACGTGCCTCTACCTAAGAACAGAAGTATAGAAGCAACACTACAGGTACTCATTCTCAATCTGTTAAGTATTACCATTTTCCCTCAAAAGAGGTGACAGCAGTGTGTAGCATGCAAGGCTACATGGCTTCTTACACCTATGCCACTACAGTATATGATCCAACTCCTTGATCTGTACCAATCCTAACAAACAAACTGAACCAACTTCATTAATTTTGATCTCACTTTCTCTTATTTGTTTGTTTTTTTAAAATTGTTGTTTTGTCTTTTTGATACAGGGTCTCCCCAAGCAGTTTAGGCTGGCCTTGAACTCACTTTGTTGCCCAGGCTGACCTCAAACTCACAGCAATCCCCCTGCCTTAGCGTCCCAAGTGCTGGGATTACAGGCATGCACCACCACGTCCAGCTATTGTTTTTTTGTTTGTTTAGACAGAGTCTTACTATGTAACCCAGGCTGGCCTCAAATTCACAATGATCATTTTGCCTCAGTCTCCTGAGTGCTGGAATTACAGGCATGTGACACTACGCCTGACTCATTATAAGAGAGACATTGCAATTTGAAAAAACTTTTGAGACTATTTATTCTACTGTACACTCAGCTCATATTTTCTGCCAGTTTTACCTCAACAATTTAGAATGACTTTTTACTTAAGAAACTGACCATTTATAAGAATGGAAAACATTCTCTCAACTTCATTCCAGATATTCAAACACTGCTGTCATGCAAAAGCACTTTATTTATGTATGAGTAACTGTGACCTGAGGAGCTAGTAGGAAACTAACTTTATACCCTAAGTAGGTACTAGATTGTCCTACCATACTGAAAAAGCTGCCTCACTTAAAATGCTTTCTCTATAATAAATACATTATGTTCTCATGCTCCACCTATTCTTGCATAAGCAGGATTCATCCTCACCTTGCTCTCCCCAGCCCTGATCTCAGCACTGGGGAGTGAACCCAGGGCCTTGCACTGAGCCACATTCCCAGCTCTTCTTTTACTTTGAGACAGTCTGGCTTCGTTGCTAAGTTGCCGAGGTTGGGCTGGAACTTGTGAAGCTCCTGCTTCCGCCTCCCAGCATTTGTTGAGCCACCATGCCTGACTCTGTCTACTCTTGTATCTTAACAAATTATCCAAGTCACCCTTTTACCTCTCAGAATTTAATATTTCTTTCCACACTGATCTTTCACATTTCCTGGTAAGTTTATTCTAAGCTTTTTAACTCTCTGTGGCTCTCATAATTGATCATTTTTATACTGCTCATTATTTCTGATTGGCTAAAATTTGACAGATGCTTATGAGAATTCTGGCATTAGTCTTTTGACCTTACATTCAAAAAGTCAGGATAACTGGGTGTGATGGCACATGCCTATAATCCCAACACTTGGGGAGACTGAGGCAGAAGGATCACCGCAAGTTCAAGGCTAGCTCAGGCTACACAAGTGAGTTCAAAGCCAGCCTGTACTACACGGCGAGACTCTGAGTATTTCTAAGTATCATCCCTCTTGTCCTTTGACACACTTGTTCCCTTACTATCTTGTGCTCACTTACATGGCTCCTGGAATTTCCCCCTAACTCAAGGAAATGGATTATTCACTCATTAATGCCATTAAATCATAAATAAAACTGATCAAAAAAATCACACATTAGCCAGGGTGGTGGTGCACACCTGTAATCCCAGCACTTAGGAAGCCGAGATGGGAGGATCACTTTGACTACAAGGACAGCAGTGAGTTCAAGGCCAGCCTGAACTGAACAACATACATAATGAGATCTTGTCTCAAAACGAAACAGAAAGAAACCCTAAAACTGGAGCAGATAGTCTAGCCATCAGCTGTCTCACACAAAATGGAATGAATTAAAAAGGTAGGCTGGATCTAGATCAAATTATTTGTAGTTTCCTAGTAACATCGGATTCCATAGAAGGGCTTCAAGGTGAGGTACGGGACAGTGGACCACTTCCCCTTTATAATCATTTACTCTGCCTTGACCTAGTTAACATTAGTCTTAGAATATAAAACCCATTTACTTCACAAATATGAAATACGAGGTAGTTCAAGCTGTACGTATTTCTTAGATGGTGGAGTTAGTACAGCTAATCTTAAACTACTTTGAATCGAAACATCATGACTATCGGTTGCCAACTGCTGGTCATAGGGTTAACCACCTGTTATGCCAACACTTGGGAGGCTGAGGCAAAAAGACTGCCACAGGTTCAAGGCCAGCCTGAATTACACAGGGAGATCTATAACCCAACCACTGCAAAGAAGACAGTACCTTTTATTTAACAATTTATTTTCACATGGCACAGTATAATGCTGAAATTTTCTACAAGGATAAAGATACTGAACATTATAATTTCCTTTTAGAAATTATAAGGGGCTGGGGATTTAGCTCAGTGGCATAAGTACCTGCCTTGCAAGTGTGTGGTCGTGAGTTTGATCCCTGGTACCAATAAAAAAAAAATTATAAATGGAGAAAATTATAAACAGAGAATACTAAAAGTGAAACATCAGAGTTACTAAGTAATCACTCATCAGATTAGTAAAGTAAAGCTTCATGAAGAATTTTAGATAGCTATTACACCTGGAACAGAAGTGGTTACAGGCTGAGGAGGTAGTTCAATGGCAGGATAGCCAATGGCCCTGGGTTTGATTTCCAGCACCAAAACCAAACTAAACCAGCCAGACTTGGTGGCACATGCCTGTTATCTTAGCACTTGGGAGGCTGAGGCAAGAGATCACTGTGAGTTTGAGGACAGCCAGGCATACAAAGTGAGTTCAAAGCCAGCTTGAATTGCATACTGAAACTCTTTCTCAAAAAGGCAAAAACAAAACTCAGAAAACCAAACCAAATTTAAAAAGTTAAAACTCTGTATCCATGAAAAAATTGTGAGAAAGTCCTGGCTCTTTCCTAGTACACTGCACAGTTTCTATAACTCTGACTTACTTGTCAAACCACACTGCTCCTTTTGTTACCTTATCTTGCCACGCACTCACCAGGTGGCTTTTAAAAGAGGAACCTGTTCACGTGTCTCGCTACACTACTGACTCCTATGCGATCTGATTTCTAATCCTGCCATGTTCCTTCAAATAACTTCCCAAAGTCCACAGTAAACTTCTGACTAATATCAAATCTAGTTCTGAATTCTTTCTCTGAAGATTTGAGCACTAATTCACTCTTGAAAGCACGTTGCCTTTCTTTGCATCAGTACTGTTTCATTTTCCTGGTTTCCCTAACTAACAAACAGCCTCCCTTCAGAGGCTATTTCAGATAGCAGTTTCTATGGGTAGTCCTGCCTGATCAGAAACTCAAATAGGTGTCCACCCTCCATGGTCCCATCTATCATGTACTCAAATTAAGTTAAGGGTCCACCCTCCATGGTCCCATCTATCATGTACTCAAATTAGAGTTAAGGGTAAATGGTAAAACCTGAATTTAAACTGGGCATGGTGGTGCACACCTGTGGCTCCAGCACACAGGACGCTGAGGCAGGAGGACTGCAGTGTGTCCTAGCCCAGCCTGGACTACATAGTGAGTTCAAGGCAGCCTGAACTACATAGTAGAACCTTGTCTCAAAAAACCAAAAATAAATAAATAATCTGAATACATTTTAATAGTAATACTGATGCTTTCATAAATAAGTTAGGATTTGTAATTTAAGCAAAAGAAATGATACTTAAGGCTTCAATAGATTTGGGCGGGGGCGGGGGGGTTTACTAGGAATTGAACTCAGGACCTCACACTTGCCAGGCAGGCGCTGCACCGAGCTAAATCCCAGCCCCTGCAATAGAGTTAAAAGAACATTCCAATCAACTTATTTGAAAAGTAAGCCACTAAAATTCAAGTGAGTATAAATGGTTTACATTTTCCCAAAGCCAAATACTCACTTGTTAGATTTATAACCAGAACATGAGAATCCAGAAATTAAGCCAATACTTTTTCTACTAAATTACATTAACTCAACTATTATTCTATTTCTTTAAGGGTAATTAAATTTCTTCTTTAAAAAATTTTGTTTCTGGGGCTAGGGATTTAGCTTAGCGGCCTAAGTGCCTGCCTGGCAAACACAAGGTTGTGAGTTTGATCCCGGGTATCCCCTGCCAAATGTTTCTAATCAATTATATAACTGAACAAATCAATTCCATTCAAATAATCTTCTTTAGGGACATATATAAAATGCCAGGATATAAAAGTGAAAAGCCTAAAAAAAAAAAAAAAAGTGAAAAACCTTTATATCCAATGAATTTCTGGTGCCAAAAATCTAGTATAAGTAGTTATTACGAAGAGCTGCTTAGTTATTATATGAAGCTATCAAACAAAACAGTTCTTATAATATTAAATAATTTCTGATTTCTTGAAACATTTTTGAAGCTGAATTCCAAGTAACTAAACATTGTTATACTACAAATACAACTTTCCAGCGGTTACCAATAACGTGTTCACAGGGAAATTGTGTATGTTTAAACCTAAAATTTCTTACTGAAAATCTATTTTAACTCAAAAATTTTAAAGTGCATATTTCATTTAGTATCTTTTCTAATGTCACAATTTTAATATTAAAAATCCCTATAAGAATAGATTTGTGTAACTGAAAATTTTTTTTATGGTGATTCCTGAAAGCAGACTAACAAATAGCATTAAAACATTTTAGCAGGGAGTATTGGGGTACATGCCTGTAATCCCAACACTTGGGAGGTTGAGGCAGGGAGATCACAAGTTTGAGGTCAGCCTAGACTACCCAGTGAATTCAAGGTCAGCCTGAACTACATGGGAGACCCTAACTCAAAAAGCCAATTAAAAAAAGTTAGTAAGGGTTTTGGGTATTCAAAAAGAAATCTGAAGTTTTAAAACTATTTCAATTAGGACAAATAATTACTCACAGTTTACTTACTATTACATAATTATCCCCACTGTAGTGGTAAACTGTAGAAAGACTTGGGGATGTGGTAAGAACTTCTAGAAGTTACTTCAAAAGGGGTATGAGGTGCGCCATTAGGGGAATCAGTTCTTATTTTTCTTCCTTTCCTTATCCTTAATACGCTGACAGATTATTGGCTGTAAATTACTGCTCCCCAGCCCCCAGGTTATCTTTTGTCTAAAAAATGAAACTGAGTCAGTGCTAGCCTTAAACTACCAGATACTCACCGAATTAGGGTAGTTCAGGTAGCAGATCTGACAAGGCATATCCTGTGCTGATGACCTTGTATTCATCTGGCGTGTTCGAGACTTTTTACTTGGATTAATTACATGACACTCAGCAAAGAGCTTCTCCAGGTTTCCATCAAAGTACCTGCATTGTTTAAACAGAAAGGATGAGAGCTCAGCACAGCACAGTTAAGAGCTCTCCAAAACCCTCATTTTTTACAAAAAAAAAAAAAAAAAAAAAAAAAAAAAAAAGGCAATGAATTGAAATAAACCAAGAGCCTCACCCTTCTGTTACAGAAGAGGACTGCTATAGTTACATGTCAGTCAGCAGTGGCTGTCTATGAATCTGTATGAGTGTGTGCGAAGCACACTGAGTTTCTACTATTCTTTCAATTTTTAAAAAATTTATTTTTAAGCAAGAGTTAGGAGTAATACAAATGAATGCTGTGCTGGTGGCGCTACTGCTATCTATGAAGAACAATGGTATTTTAAAAGACTAGGCAATAATTAATACAAATAAGCCCATCTTTTAAGAACTTTAACCACTTTAAATATATTAGCTTTAGTAAGTCACTAACAAAGTGTACCCTGCCCAGAACTATTTTAAAAATAATTGACATGTGTCTCATTCTTACACAATATATTTGTTCTCTATATAATCTTTCAAAAAACTTAATAAACTGAGAAAAAAAAACAAAAAAATTGTATTTTAAAATATTTTTATGTCAAGGGCTCAATGGTACAGAACATTTGCCTAGCAAACACAAGACCCTGGGTTCAATCCCCATTATGACCAAAACCAACAAAAACCAACCATAGTCCCACAAATTTCTTATACCAAATAGATAATACTTTAGTTCTTCATAAAACACAACCCTAAATACAGACATGTAGTTCAGATCTGAAACATCAAAAATATGCTATGTCAAGTACTAGTTATAGTTTTAGCAAAACCTTAAACCTTCTAACAAAAACAAAAAAACAAAAACCAGGCCAGATGACAGCTATATGCGTCTGAACCTCAAAGGGAGACTACCTCAAAAAAAAAAAAAAAAAAAAAAACCAAAAATAAGCAAATAAGTAAGTAAATAAATAAATAAGGCTAACTATCAATTCATAAGTTAATTAACCACCTCATCTAATGAAAATGTTCATTGTCACAAGAGAAACTTCCATCAATCCAAAATGTTACTACCTGGAAACAATGACTCCTCAAAGCCTGCTTAGCATTCTAGCCTGCACTTAGGCAAAGAAAGATTCATATACATGTGTACAAATTCGTATAATATCAAATTCATAACCTACTATCTTCACTAATATCCAATACAGTCTGTCAATAAAAATGTCCACCCATTTTTCATTTTGCACAGTATTTCACTGTAGTATGTATTAGAATGCAAATTTACACAGGGGTGGGGGTGGGGTGGGGGTAGTGCCTGAGACGTTTCATGGATGAAAACTTTTGGTGCAACTAACTGGGCAGAGCTGCATTTATTAGCAAAGATAAAAGCACATTTTTGTGAAAACCTTATTCCCCATTGAGAGTTCAGTATGTGAACAGGAAGTGTAACCCTTTGCTTCTAGGACAGCTGTTTTTCCTATTTCCTAGTCTTTTAACGTGTGTAATGTGTAACTGTGTTTAAGAAGTACTTTTCATTTCTATGTAAGCAAATGTATCAAGCACTCCAATTGTGATTTCTAGATTCGTATTAAGACTTCTATATAATCAGTCATTGCCCCCCCCCCCACACACACACAGGGTGGCTTGAGCTCACTTTGTAGCCTAGGCCAGTCTCGACTATGCAGTGATCCTCCTGCCTCAGCCTCCCAAGTAAGTGCTGGGATTACAGTTGTGTGCCACCATGCCTGGTTATTACTAGATTTTTTTTTTACAATTCATTAATGATTAGATTTTTCTTCAAATTGTTTTCATAATTGTTGATTTGTGAGAACTTATTTTGGTGCATTCAGAAATAAAATTAAGCTTTTATTTCAATTTATTCCAAACAGCTATTTACTGGAGGTTGGTTAATCTATACAAACTACTTTTCCCACCTCTGGCTTTTGCTTTCTCAAATGCACCTTCTATGAGGCACACTCTAGTTTCAGAAGATTCCGTTGCATTAGTGTTTTGCTGCACTTACATGTTACTAACTCTAATAACTGCTTTATTTGGGGGACTTTTATGCCCTCCCCCCAGTCTTTTGAGACAGTCTCTATGTCATTCAGGCTGGCCTTCCTGTAACTCACAGCAATCCTCTTGCTTCAGCCTCCCCAAGTGCTGGGATTACAGGGATGTACCACCACATCTGTCTATTTTGGCTTTTTTCCCTGCTAGAAAATAACTGCCACAAAGACCTATTTTGCTGTTGCTGCAACCCTAGTGTATATAAGCTCCATATGTGTGTGTGTTGGGGACTAAAACCTGGCCAGGCTTCTCACAGCAGCACTCTACCATTGAACTGCATCCTGAACCTTAGCAGCATCTTATTATGTCCACTCAGCATCTCCTAAAACAGTAAATGACTGCTCCTTCCACTGATAAAACATTCTCTATACCACACACTAAATCTGTATTCAGTAACTTTATTTATACACTTGACAGTCTATTTGAAGAGTCTCATAGTTTCTGAGTTTCTAGTATTTGATGAGGTCCTTTTAAGTCTTTTTACTTACAGAATTTTCATAGATAATTCATCTATATTTTTTTAAGGTCATGTATAATCCTTTTGTTAAATCCAGCTACAAAAAAAATTCTGAGAGAACTTTTATCGCAAAAGTATAGAAAGCTTTCATAGCCAAGAATAAAGTATCTTTTTAAATTTACTTAATTCCTATTTTGTCTCAATAGTCCCCATTCTCAGGTATTTTAGGGTCTTTTACTTTAGATTCCTTCATTTCAGTTATATTTCTTTTCTCTTTTTTTAAACCAGGAATCGAACTTTCTCTTTTTTTTAAACCAGGACTTCACATTTGCCAGGCAGGCCCTGCGCCACTAAGCCATAGTCCCAGTCCTATGTTTCTTAATGATACGACACACTGGCATGTTATAGCTTTTGGATCCATTTTAGAAGCCACCAAAGACCTTTAAAATACTGTGCAGTAAAATGGTGAGAAACAATTTGCTCAGAGTGGCCTAGAAACCCTTTTCTTTTATTAAGCTTTAGTTATAAAAAATGTAACTTCTAAAACTTTTGCTTTCATTTGTTTTCAATGGGCTGTCTACCCCACAACTCACACTAGTTATTTGGCAGATATTAAAATCTAATTTAGGTTCAACAGCAACTTCTTACGTAATATTTAACTTACTCATTTTATCAACTTTAAACAGTGTACTATGTGTCCCTATAATATAAAATGCTCCACTTAACCCTATGGTTTTGAATGGAATTTCCTATACCTTTTCCTAATTGGTTATTATTACATTTCACATTTCATATGAGGTATGTTCTGTTTGTTTTGGGGGTACTAGGTTGTACTCTGTGTTGATATGTTCCACTCTAAAAACTGTTTTTGCAGCCAAGCATGGTGGCGCACGCCTGTAATCCCAGCACTGGGGAGAATGAGGCAGGAAGATGGTTGCAAGTTCCAGACCTGCCTGGGTTACAAAGTGAGCTCCAGGCCAGCCAGAACTACACAGTGAGATCCTGTCTCAAAAAAGACCAAAACAAAACAACAAAACAACCCTGATTTTTATTTCCTAAATTTGACTACTCCCATTGACACAGACATAGCCTAATATTTAAACGTAATCAAATGCTCAAACTGGCATGCATCTTTAACCACCTCAGTCTTCATATAGACAGTGTTCTATTTTCTCTAGTTACTTCTTATTGAACAAATCTCTGACCAAAATAAGTATTAATTTTTAATTCAAATTTTTGTTTTCTAGCATATACAGTGGTGGGGGTGGGATAGGAGGTTTCTTTCTACTGGAAATGTAGCTCTTCTAAGACTTATGCTTAGCATTTAACTACTATCGTTTTTTTTCTTTTTGCGACAGGGTCTCGCTGTGCAGTTCAGGCTGACCTTGAGCTCACTTTGTAGCCCAGGCTGGTCTCGAACTTTCAAGATCCTCCTGCCTCAGCGTCGTGAGTGCTGGGATTACAGGCAAGTGCCACCATTCCTGGCTTTTTTTCTGTCTTCTAGAACTCAACTTGCCATACTGTCTGTTTTATTTCTTGCAACTGCCAATATGGTTTCAAGTTCTGCAAGAGTACTGCTTGTGCCTTCATTTTTTTCCTTAGTTCTGTCAGTTTTCTTTTCACATTATTTTATCAGTTTATCTTTGATTCATCTTAAGAGTACAAAGAAACTGTTTTTTTTTCCAATTATAATCATTTTATTTAATCATTTTATTTACAATACCCAAGAATATGGATGGACTTATAACACTATCTTTCAGGGCACTATTAGAAAGTTCCTACAGTTCATAGGCTTTTATGTAAATTTATTTGGGGGGAAGGCTGTTTTGTTTTGAGATAGGGTCTCATTGTATAGTTCAGGCTGCCCCTGAACTCACTATGTAACCTAGACTGGCCTCAAACTCATGGCAATCCTCCTGCCTCAGCCCCACTAGTGCTGAGATTACAGGCATGAACCACCTTATTTATGTACTCTTCACGAAAGTCAGGTCAAAATGAAAACAGACCAGGCTCGATGTGAAACAGTACATCTCAGACTCCAGGCTTACTGAGTTAACGCAAAATGTACTTTTTTCTGCTTCACTAGCTTTGGAAAATAGCTGCAAAGCTTATCGCAAGACACTACTTCTCTCGATTCTGGCAACCTTGCCCATCCTTTTGTGGAAATCACATTGATGTGGCAGTATGGCTTCTCCTTCCACCCAGCCTTTCCTTAAGGGGGACAGGGTACATGCAGGGCACTCTCCAGTGCCACAGGCTAGATTTTTCTAGAAAGTTCACATATAAAATTTTTGTCCATTTTTAAAAAGGACTGTTAAAGAATCTGATGGCTTTCAGCATTGTAACTGTCTCTCTAGTAGAGTGCTTTCCATTTATTCAGTGTGTCTACACAACTAGAATGAACCAAACTGGCAATCAGATAGCTTTCCAGAACAGATAGCTTTATTTTCACTGTACTCAACTACTACACAGAAACATACCAAATACTGTGAGGTAAAGT